CCTGGCCGCAGTGGCCAATGTGTGTAGCGCCAAATCGGTGATGGTGGGAGGACGCAACCAGTGGTCATTGGGGACCAACTATGCCTCTTGGGCTGCCGGCGCTGGGCCATTCCGTATTGGCGACACACTGGGTGAGTACTTCTCGCTAGATCCCGTTGAGATCTGGATCAAGTTCTTTATAAGCTCTCCCGAAGCTCTTCTCTGACACGATCATTCAATCGTTGTACAACTTGTCAGTTTTCTCCTACGGCGGTGGAAGGGCCGGCAAGGCCGCGGCGCCCCACAACGTGTTTCTCATGAAGGATCAAGCCCACTACCGGAACTGCGACTTCAGCGGCGCTGTTCTCCTGGCGGATCCCAGCAAGGGAACGCCGGGTTACAAGTTCACGTTGAAGCAGAAGAAGGCTCACTACTTCGCGTGCGGCGTGGGCAATGGATTCCACTGCCAAAGCGGTATGAAATTCGCCGTGAGCCCGCGCTGAAAGGATCTGTGTTTGATCCAGCGAGGGAAGATGCAATGCCATCTCTAACAATCTCACCCAAATATCAATACAAGTTGTAGAAGCTCTTTCATCCCTTTTCATAGCTTTGTTTTTTGCTTCCAGTAGTGTGTCGGTAATATAGCTCGTAGGCATGTGCTTGGCGGAGCATCTTTCAGAGAATATCCTGCCATGTTATAAACGAAAAAGCGTTTTGCCCTAGAAACGATTTTTACCGTTGGGATGTGCCAGCAAAGAATACAACGTTACGAAATTCGCTGATGTGGATGTGCCACGTCAAACATTCCCGCCACGCTGGCGTTGCTACCCCTGGAATTAGGGGAGCAATGCTGCAAAGGCTGGAGAGGAGACCGCGCGAGGGCGCCAGGGGCCTCCCTCTTGTGCCATCGATCGCGTCTCCCATTCACGCCGATCCTTCCTCTAGGTGATTGATCCTCTCTCCGATGGATGCCAGGCAATAACGGGAGGAAAGAACCATCGTCGCGAGCGTTCCCGGTAGCTATCTAGGGGTTGATTGATTCGCGCGGCCATGGAGAGCGTCGAGAATGCCGCAGTGCAGCCGGATAGGTCGAGATCGCGAACGAGGCTCAATCTTCCGGCGGGCATGGCCGCGGAGAGGCTGCGAGTAGAAATTTCCAGGGCGGTCTCGGTGCTTAATCCGGCTGTAGCAGGAGGAGGAGGAGGAGGATCGACGCCCTCGCCGACGCGAATGAGCTATAGTGACCGTTTCATTCCAAGCAGGTCCAGCTCTAACCTTGCCGGGTTTGCTCTGTTAGATAATTCGCCATCTCTGGGAAGTGATGCCTCCAAGGAAGAAGGGGTGGCAGTGTATTCAATGCTCTTGCGCTCTGAGCTTCTAGGAGGCGATGCAGGGCCCCTCTCCCCTGGAACTCCCGACAAGAACAGCTTGGTCAGTGCGGGCGTGAGGGACTCGACTAAGTCTCCTCTCAGTCCCAGCAGGAACTTGCTGAGATTCAAGAGCGATAGCCGGGCTGCCGGGGCTCCATGCCACAAATCGGAGTCACTCTCTCCTGGTGCTCTGGACTTTGGGACGACTGGAGCTTCGTCCAGTCCCGTCAAGCTTCAAAGAAAAGTTTCCAGAGTCCCGTTCAAGGTACCTCTCTCATGAAGCTTTGCTTCGTTCCAACTCTTTACCATCACTTTGTTGGTGGCAGGTTTTGGATGCGCCAGCCTTGCAAGATGATTTCTACTTGAACCTGGTGGATTGGTCCGCACATAACGTTTTGGCTGTGGGACTCGGGAACTGTGTTTATCTGTGGAGTGCTTCGACTAGCAAGGTCGATTAGTGTTACATTTTGTTGTTTCTTTGCACGATCCAAGTAACCGAAGCTTTCCTGTTCTTGCAGGTCACGAAACTGTGCGACTTGGGACATGATGACGCTGTGTGCTCAGTTGCGTGGACTCACCGTGGAACTTATCTCGCGGTTGGAAGCAATGCGGGAGAAGTACAGGTAAATGTAATATGATCGCACATTCTTTTATTATCTCCTCTTCCAGATTTGGGATGCAATACGCTGTAAAAAAGTGCGAACTATGGAGGGACACCGGACACGAGTTGGAACTCTGGCATGGAACTCGGTGACTCTATCTTCCGGAAGCAGGGACCGCAACATTCTCAACCATGATGTCAGAGTGCCTGAGGATTATACGAGCAAGCTTTGTGGTCACAAATCTGAGGCAAGCTCTGTGATGTTCTTCTTGTTGTATTCTGTCTTACGTATCGACTGCAGGTCTGTGGCTTGAAATGGTCCTTCGACGACAGAGAACTAGCTTCCGGTGGCAACGACAATCAGGTATTTTGAGCTTCATCCGATCTTTAGCTAATGTTTTCTTGGTTTCCATGGTAGCTTTTTGTCTGGAACCAATTGTCAACACAGCCCGTTTGCAAGTTTAGCGAGCACACAGCCGCAGTGAAGGCTATCGCGTGGTCACCACATCAACACGGGCTTTTAACCTCTGGTGGTGGAACAGCCGACCGATGCATAAGATTCTGGAACACGTCGACGAACTCGCACATCAATTGTGTAGACACGGGTGGACAGGTACAGTTGCTGAAATTCTTGAGCGTCTACTAAGCCGAAGGAAACAAGGTCTGCAATCTCATGTGGTCGAAGAACGTGAACGAGCTCGTGAGCACCCATGGCTACTCTCAGAACCAGATTATTGTGTGGAGATATCCGACCATGACAAAAGTAAGTGTCACTTGCCTCACACGAAGAGGGATGACATCTGTTCTTGCTCTTTTAGCTGACAACACTCACGGGACACACATACAGAGTTTTATACCTTTCCATGTCTCCTGATGGTCAAGTAAGCTCTCTCCCTTGAAGAGTCTTCTTTTTTCTGTCCTGACAATCTGCTTGCTATTCCAGACAATCGTCACAGGTGCCGGAGATGAAACGCTACGATTTTGGAACGTGTTTCCATCACCAAAATCTCAGGTGTGAAGCTACCAATGGTTATGGTTCTCTCTAATTTTTCCGTTCTTTGTTCTAGAATGCTGTCCGGGACAGTGGGATGTGGTCGCTTGGTAGAACGCACATAAGATGAGAAGAGTAGACAAATAGAGGGCGCGTCAAACTTTTTACTGGGCAAGCTCAACGCGTTGCTCTTTCTTTGTACATCTCCAAGCGTCTGTAACACTAAAATACGTTCTTGAGTCTAGAGGTGTTAGGGTTCTTGAGAGAGAGCTATGTTTGGAGTGCCATGGCCGGAGATGAACGATGGCGTACGATACGCCGAGATCTCCAGGCTTCCATCGTCTCAGCAAGGTAAGCTAGCAGAGTAAATCGCATTTGTTCCCATTTACAACACAGGTGAAAGCGTTTTGGAGTACTACGCGTCGAGATACCAGAGCTCCGCTTCTAGAGAAGGGTAAAACTCAGAATGTTCTTTTGTAATTTGGAGTTGTTGAGCTCTTGGCTTGCAGTTGGCTGAGAAGAATTCTCAAAGGACAGGTAACTTTCACGAGTAGTATTGGATTCCACTCGTTTGTTTCTTAGAATTTTGTTGTAGATTGAAATCAATGGAGAAGTCGTCACTTCCCCGGACGCCTTGATCAGGTAGAAGTTTCATAGCTCCGGTTTTCTTATAGTTTCCTTCTCCGATCTCCCTTTTAGGAACAACGCGTCGCTGGTGTACCACAGGTTCCCTTGGGAAGAACCAAGCGCACCATTCATGCTTGAAATACTGTACGAAGACGAGCATCTGGTAGGAATGTGGTATTTTGTTTTCTCATTGATCTGGATCTGAGTGCTTCAAAATGGTAGCTTGCGATTAATAAACCATCGGGCTTGCAAGTTCTACCGGGTGGTCTCTTTCAGCAAAGAACTGTGCTGTCGCAGTTGCAGTGGCGAGTGACAGACCAAGTAGAAAGAAATCATCCAACACCTGTTCATCGGCTCGGAAGGGGAACATCAGGTGTGTATGTGTGTGGTACTTCTCTAACTAAAACATTTGTGTATTTTAAATACCTGCATTTCTCAGGAGTTTTGCTATGCGCTAAGTCCGATCAGGCCAGATGTGTCCTAGGAACGAAGCTAGCTTCCGGCACTTTGCGTTCAGGTATAGAAGGTAAGCTAGCTTCATTCAACCATTTCAATATTGCAAATGACAACCGACCTTTCATGAAGACAGGTTTGAGATGTTGTCGAAGGTGTACAGGGCTCTGGTCTGCGGTATTGTCCAAGATGATAAGGTGATAGTAGTAGTAAAAGAAGGAAACTATTACTTATTCCTCTTTTTCCCGTGTAGATTTCTATTGACCAAGCTATAGGGAGAGCTCATTATCCTGGAGTTAGAGGAGGACTTTACATGGCCGTTGCCAAAGGTATGAAACTAAGAAACAGATCTTCATTTACCGATGCAAGCAGGGAAACCTTCTCACAGCAAGGTGACAACACTGAAGCGGAACACGGAAGAAAACAGCACAGTTGTGGAGGTGATTATATCCATTCTGCGCTTTGTCTCAGTGAGTCTTCATTCGCAGGTAGAGATATTCTCTGGACGTGCTCACCAGATACGGATTCATTTGGCAAGCATCGGCCACCCTTTGGTCGGTAAGTTACGAAAAAATCTCCTTTACTGATGCTGTCGCTAACGGATTGGAATCTCAAAATGCAGGCGATCCTCTTTACGTGCGCGGTGGACAACCTTCAATGCAGGTTGTGAGCACCCTGGAACGAGCGAGTGTCGCAGAGGACGGGTATCAGCTCCTTGGCTCGTTGCTCTTGCCAATCTCACTCATGTTTTCTAACAGAGGCTATGAAAGACCAGAAAATCCATTGCCTGGAGACTGTGGTTATCACTTGCATGCTCATCGGCTCACGTTCCATCACCCTGTGACGAACCAGGTAGAAACAAGATGGTTTAAGTTCATATAGTTGACCACAGATCTCAAAATCTGATATATATTTTTTCGCTTGCAGCGTTTAGAGATCGTAGCACCTTTACCACCCGAGCTGGAAACGGAAAGTCCGTTCTGAGAGAGAGCAGTTTCTTCGACGCGTGGGGCAAGCTCTCGCTCGCAACTTGTCACGCCGGGCATCCGCCACGTGGACAGCCTTTGCATGCTTGCGGGCTCTCAAACAATCGGTTACAAATATCAGGCACTCTCAGACCCTCGTTTAGCTTGATCTCTCTCTCTCTCTTCTCGTGGTATGGTGGTTGTCGCCGCTGTGTTTCGCTCACCGCTTTTTTTGCCTTCGTCAGGATCTTGTCCGGTTTTGAGCAGCGGCAGCCGTCACAGAATGTGGAAGCTGGGTGGATTCGTGCGCTCCGGCGTCAAGCTCGCCACTCCCGCCACTCAAAGGCGATCTTCCTACGTTGCCTCGTCGAACATCCCCCGAGCAAGGAGAGTCTACGCAGTTCCTCCGGAAGAAGTAAGCTTTTCTTTGGTTTTCTCCTCCAGATCATAGAGCAATGTAGGTCCTTATTGATCGATCGCCTCTGCAACCAACAGGATCCCAGCCAGTCTTACCACACGCGAGGATACGCAAGCGAGGCACAGACCAAGGTTAACGATGCCGAGCAAAAGGCCGAGGAAGCAAAGCAGGGAATGAAGCAAAAAACCGACGAGGTTAGTGAGGAGGCCAAGGCGAAGAAGGAGGAGGCAAAGTCCGCCGCTAGCAAAGCAGCCGAGGATGCCAAGGCCAAAGCCGAGGCTACCAAGTCCAAGGTCGGCGAAGCCACGGACAAGGCCACGAGCAAGGCCAAGGAAACGGTGAGTTCGGGCTCGCAGAAGGCCACGGAAGTGAAGGAGTCTGCCAAGGAGAAGAGCGAGGAAGCCAAGGAGCGCATCAAGAGCAAGACAGGAGAAGCTGCCGAGCGGACTGGGGAGGTGAAGGAGACTGCTAAGGTGAAAGCTGAACAGGCCAAGGAGAAAGCTAGCGAGATGGGATCCAAGGCGAAGGAGACTACCGAGGGGACGGCCGAGAGTATGAAGCACAAGCTGAGCGAGACGACGCAGGCCGTCAAGGAGAAGTTGCAGGAGACGATCGAGGGTGCCAAGGAGCCTTTCCGCCGGATGAAAGAAACTCTGGCCGGGAAGAGCGAGGAAGCGAAGCAATCCGCCGAAGAGACTGCCGACAAGGCAAAGAAACAGGCTCGTGAGAGCACGTAAATATCTTTGCTTGCCTCTTTCGTTTTGTTTTGATCTTCCAAGCAAAAGATTTACCAGAAAGTCCAGAATTTCGATTCATCAACTCGAGAGATCTGTGGCGGACAAGGAGTCAGCTAGCACACCAGATCAAGCCAAATGGCCATAAGAGGGAAAATTTAGAGACCTCGATTCACGTTTACTTTGTTTGTTGCTATGCTGCCGTGTAGTACTTCCTATGAGACGAAACTGAGTACTGCCGTACCATTGGAGGAGCGATGGCGGCCTTCGTGAAGCCGCTGCTGCTCTGTTCCTTGACGTAGTTCCACTTGTCTTGCAAGAGGTAGACGACGGCCATTACGGCAATCTGGATCGAAAAAAGGATGTTGAGAATTCTCTGGCTCTTCTGAGTTATCATCTCGTAGATTCTCAAACCGTTGTACACGTTGTAAAAGCCCAGGATGATGGTGGTGGTTCCCAGTAGCCAATGAAGAACGAACCACACCGGTCGAGCAGTCTGACCACTGTTAAGCAAAACAGATAAATCACGGAGAGTAGACGTGGATCAAGCTTACGTCCGGGGACGGATAATCCCGATAAATGGCTGTACCCAAGCCACAGCCCACAGTGCCAAGCCAAGTCTCTGATGAGTGTGCATGAACTGGTTGGAAAATTTCCGGAACGACAAGACAGCACCACCGGCCGAGACAAGAAGCGCGATGGACTACAAAACGATACAAACTACATTTTCGTGACGCACTAATTAAAGAGATGCGAAACAAACCTGGATAATCAAATGAGCGTAGAAGACAATCGCGATTTTGTCACTGGCAGCTTCTCGGCTGTGACGAGCACAGCGAGAGAAACGAACCACCAAAGTACCGAGCGGTATCAACAATCCAAACGATCCCCACATCAACCATCCATGGAGCTTAATCCATTTGTAAGGATCCTGTAAACAAGTAGATCACTCAAGCATCAACTTGAGAAAACTAGAATTGAAAGAAAAGTACCTCAACTCTCTGGAACGCGCTGGGCTCCGCTGCTAAAGCCACAGACAGAAGCTGCAAAATGATGAAACACAGACTAAGGGTGGCCATGCTTAGCCCCTCCTCCTTGTGTGATAGTTTCCAGGAAACGTCAATCAACAATCACCAGAACAGCTTCGAATCAAGCGAGGACTTCATAAACAGAAGAAAGAGACAGAGGCAAACCGAGAAGAGGAGCAGCACTGCACCCTCAAACCCAGGCATATGACACTACTGCACAAACTCAAGCACATATATTCCAAGACAAGGCAAGCAGATAATAGAAAATGGTGGCCATCTCTTTTACGGTCGTGCAGTCACGATTATGCGTCGCACGACTACAGAAACATGTCCATAGGCGAGTTAGTTGCGAAACTGGTCATGGCCACCTCTCAACAACTACGTCCCGTTGCTATACTTTTTCAGGGACACTGAGCTCTTGTTTAATCCACTCGCAAAGGTCGTCTAGCTCCTCTGGTGTCGTCGAGTGATCAAGCCTGACGTAATGCAGAGGGATCGATCAAACTCCTGGACTAAAAGAAACAACAAAAGCGCCTTACCCTCTGTAAGACTTGAACGTGACGTTCTTGAACCCGCACTCCTTCAGTGCCCGCGCCGACATTTCGCCGAAGTTGTGATAGACGATGAAGTCATCTGCAGTACCTCATAAGCCCAGGAAAAAGGTCCAACTCCAAACTTCTTACTTTTCCCATGAGCCATGAAAATTGGAAGCTCCGCGGCCAATTTCAAGCAGTCTGGAGTTTCAGCAACTTGCTTTGGCAACAACCTAGCAGCACATGTTATACAACTCATAAACTGGCCTTGTGAGAGTGAAAAAAACTTACTTGCCTGCAGGAAGCCATCCACTGAGAGACATGACTGCGTCTATCTTTCTAGTAAATGCCTTTCCATCCGTGTATTTCCCAAGAACCGAATGAGCAGCAGTGTACAAAGATGTTGCGCCGCCCATGCTAAACCCGCCGACCGCAACCTTCACTGCAAAGTTCTGACGGCTGTTAACCATTTGAGATGCTGAAGCCTTACCATCAGCGGGCTCCTTGGAAAGAAAGCTAGCAACATATGCAGCAGAAGAATCTAGGCCAAGAATATCATCTGGTCCTTCGTCCGAGAGCGATCCCACATCAAACCCTGAGAGACCAGAAAAATGAAACGATCTTCAGCGATATAGAAACACTAAAGGACGATCATTCTTACATGCGGTGCATGGATATCCATTATTAATGGTTACGGGCCGGACAGGCGCGGTCGGGACGATCCATCTGATCTGCAGCGCAAAATCAGCTTGCAAGAAAGAGTTTCTAGAGCTCACATTGTTTAGAGAAAGTGTCTTCAGAATGGAAGCCCAGCTGCACAGAAATGGAGCTTTAAAACTTCCACGAAACGAGAGAGCTATGAATTTACCCGTGGCCAGTATCCCCAAGACCATGCAACCAAACTACCGTGACGAGATGCTTGCCCTCCGGCTCGATTGTTATCGTTTTCCCCCATTCTGCCCAGGATCAAGCCAAACTAACGCATCGGCACTGCGCATTACGCCTAGATCACTACTTACTTCCTTGGCTCGGCTCCACTGTACTAGATCCAGCAGCGTCCATGCCCGAAATCCCGCAAATGCGCCGCCCCCGCAGCACCGGGAACTCACGCCTGGACCTCAGCAGCCGGGCGCGATGCCGTGTCGAGACGATCGATGGCAGCAGCACGACGTCCCCCTGCGCGCAAATGGAATAGGGTTTTGTTGCGAGAGCGCACTTGAAGTATGCCATGGCTCAACGCGATGTGAGCCGCTGGATTAAATTACAAAACGGACGGCTGGGAAGCGGTCCGGAAGAACCCTAATTGAGAATTTTCCTCTGGAGGCGGTCGAAAGCCGCGACGGTGCCTTCGATCGAGGAATGCTGGTGGCTGACGTGATGATCGTGATCGTGGAAGAAATAGGTGAGAATCCCCACCAGGCACAGCACGGCGCCGACGAGCGCCTTGTCGTAGCGCTCAAACCAGTGGAATTTGAACTGACTGGCGCCATAGAAGGAGAGGGCGACGAGTGTGAGCATCACGGCCAGAGTGCTGAAGAGGAGCACGGCCATGGCGAGGACGATGAATCCCCGCGACGCATTGCCCACTGCTAGGAACACCGGCAGGGTCGTGGCGCACGGCGACAGCGTTGGGACCAGGATCAATCCCGCCACCGCCATTTTCTCCATGGAGTGATTGTGTGAGTGATTGTGGCCGCCCTTACCGAGCAGGAAGAGGATCACGTAGCCAGCGCCCAGGAAGATCAGGAGGAACGACGCCAGCGTGTGGACAGTCTCCTCGCCGGCGATGGTGTTGGCCATGGTAATCGCTGTGAAACCCAGGAGCCCGGTGGAGATTACGTGACACACTGCTCCCAGCGCCGCTGCGATCGAGAAACGAATTCAATACGCTCGGATCGAGAAATTTCTACTTACTGACGAGCAGCGTTCGCGAAATCGTCCACTTCTGGGCGCGCCCGACGATCGAGAAGGGCAGCCAGTGCGTGGGGATGAAAGAATGGAGCAGCGACACTGTCGCGATGCCGCCGACTGTGGAGAGCTCCGTGGCCGTTAGGCCCGACGCCATGATTCTGGATCTAAAGTCTGCTGCCACAGATCTATCCAACCTAGAGCTCTTCCAGCACAAATCCCTCTAGAGCCCTAGCAAGGAACTACATGAGCCGTTGGATCACGACTCATTCAAGAAGCATGCGAGCTTAGAGACGGTCGGATTTAATTTGCTCGTCTCCAGTCCTCCCAGCGTCTTCTTATCCGGAAAATAGGGCATCGAATCCACGAGCTCTCTCGCAGCTCCAGCCTCGCAGGAGCGACCGAGAGCTTCCGCCATGACGCTGTAATGCTCGATCCAGGGAGCCAGCCGATGGTCCGCCGCCATGGAAGCGAAGATCCGCCCCGCATTCTCGACGAGGCCCAGGTGATTGCATCCGATGAGCGCGTGGAGCACCGATATCTCGTCCGCGCGCATCCCTTCCAGTAGCATCGAATGGAAGCTCTCCAGCGCGTCACCGCCACGACCAAATTGGCTGAATCCCGCGGCCATTGTGTTCCAGGCCGCGAGATCTCTAGAGGGCGAGCGATCGAAGATCTTCTTGGCATCTTCCAGATCCCCACTGCGGGCAAATGCAACTAGCAGCGCATTCCAAAAGAGGGCACTTCTTTGAGGAAGATCTTTGAAGATTTCACTCGCTCCAGTGAGATTTCCAGTGTGTATGAAGGCCCCCATTAAACTACTCCACGACGCTACATCCCATTCTGGCATTGAATCAAACAAGTTCTTGGCAAGCTCGAGATGCCCATTAGTGGCATATGACTCGAGCATAACATTCCACGCAACCAGGTCCCTTTCGGGCATAGATGTAAACACTTCTCGAGAATTGTCCAATCTTCCACAGCAGGAGTTTGCTACTATTATGCTACAAAATGATGCCAATGACCAAAAAGGCATTTTCCAAAAGAGTTTGTTGACTTCCTCTAAGTTTCCAGCTGCGGCATTTGCCTGCAACAGGGTGTTCCAAGACTTAACGCTGTGTTCAGGCATTTTCTCATAGAAATACCTCATCCCTTTGCTTAACTCTCCCGACCTGGTGTAGAGCGTGAGGATTGCAGCCCACGAGTTTGCGTCTCTCAGCTCCATTTTCGAGAAGAGACCCATTGCTTTCTGAAACTGGTCTTTGCTCGTCGTGAGTGCTGTCAGCATTACATTAGAGGAGATGATATCAAACGCGGGAATTTGATCAAAAAATGCCACTGCTCGATCCATGTCCCCCTTTGAGCAGTGCAATTGGAGCATACAAGTCCATGAAACAAGATCGTGTAGAGGCATGTTTTGGAACAGGTTCTCGCTCTCAAAAGCATGGCCAGAAGTTGCGTACGAGGATAGCATTGCGTTCCAGGAAACTAGAGTCCGAACTGGCATACTATCAAAGACTATCTTTGCGTCCTCTATATGCCAGTTCTGGGTATATGCGGAAAGCAAAGCAGTCCATGCTACCACATTTTTTATAGGCATTC